AACCCAAGCATTCTGGTTCTACAGTCCCCACTCTTAAACCTCATGGTTTTCCACTTTCCTGAGCATGTTTGGGTCATACTGTAGGGACTTACTTCAAGAAAAACTAAGCCAGGAAAGAGAACGGTTACTAGAAAGAGCTTCCTGAAGAAGATAAAACTTAAGCCAAGCGTTAAAGAATGAGTTAGAATTAACCAGCCAGATAAAATGAGATGGGCAATCCAGGCCGAGGGATTCCCACTGAGGTGGGAAACAACAGGGTATGTTATGGGAATTGTGATTCCACATGGCTGAAGTTAAGGGTATGTGATGAGGAAGAAATTGATTAGATTGAAAAGAGAGGAGTGGGGCTAAATAATAGGAATCCCTCCTTGCCAGACTGAGGAGTTTTGATGACGGCCTGCAGGCAGTGACAACCCTTAAAGGACTTTAAACAGGAAAATAAAATTATCAAATGTAGTTTAGTTGCCTGTCGGTTAGGGTTCTCTGGATGCAATCAACAGAAATCATTCTCTGATTAAATCAAACAGAAAGTAAATTTACCGGAATCAGCATGAAAGCAATGGAACAAAGCTTAGAAAAAGAAAAGGGATCTGAGCATGCCTGGGCACATGGTTAGCAGAAATTACTCAAGCCTATTTGTGATATTCTCTTTTCTTCATCCTATGTAATTCTATTCAAAATCTAAAGTCCTTAAAGTGAGTCAAGTTGACATTGCTTGGGGCTCACGCTAATCTCTTAGCTACAAGAGAGCAAAGGACTTGGACTTAAAGCTCTCTCCTCCCAAAGTCTCTCACAGTTAGGGAGAGGTAATTCCTCCCAAAGAAATTGGGGTCTGTTGACAATAGAAGATGGAAATGATTCTGAGCGATAGATAAAAAGTAAACGTCCACTGAATTCAGGCAAGAACATGTAGAATAGGACAGAGGACAGAGCAAATAAAGGACATTTGAAAAAAGTGATTATCATGATCTAAGCAGCAGGTTCATCTACCTCAACTTTGCACCATGGAGAGCTGAAATAATGACCATTTATACAATAATATCCCAAATATGTTTGTTTGACCTTTATACATGCAATAATTTGTTCTCAATAAATGTAGATTGCTTGATGAATAATGTGAATGAAATGTGATAAGGAAGCTAGATATTTAACACGGTTTGAAATTTGGGGATTATAATTGTAACTGCAAAGCATCAGAAGTTAGGTTAGATGATGCAACTAGACATTTTATGACTGAAAGCAAAATTAATTTTAAATTTATCAGTTTCAGATCAAACTTTAGACATGCAATAATCGAAATATTGGCCCCAGAAAAGGTATAAGGACATGATACTTGAATAAACTAGCCTTTTAATAGCTCAAGATTTTGAATTCAAAAATCCCATATTTGGTAAAAAAAGAAAAAAAACTTCTGTTCTCCTTTAGCATAAGTTGTTTAATTAGATTCTTATTTTAGAAAATGGGAACTGCTACCATTTTGAAATAGAAGTAATTTTTACTAACCAAATTATGTTAAGCAAAAAAAAGTGGAAGTTAAAATTACAACTTTAACTTTTAAAAAGATTTTAAAATGTAGCCATTTTAAAAATTGAACAACTCTACTGCTTAATTTTAGAGAGTTCAAAATATACCATTATCTTTTAGAGGAATAGAGATATGAAATATGCAAATTAAGCCTTTAAAAGTAAAACATACATGAAGCTCAAAGCTTATTTTATAGAATTGTGAATCAATAACTGTGGATGATTTATAATTTATGCCTAAGTGTCAAAGAAATCTGATTAAGAAATGCTTTTTCTATTTCATCATGTTTACGTAAAATTGCTCTGAAACAAAATTGTTTTGACAAGAATTAGCAGGGTTTTTTGACATCTGTGAAGTGAACATAAAAATATATCCAGAGTTTTTCTCTGAGAGTGATTATTAAGTTTGACCCTTAGAGAAAGGAAGGAGGGAGGAGAGAAAGAGAAAAGAGGGGAGCGAAGGTGGGAAAAAAAGGAAGGAAATAAGGGAGGAAAGAAAGAAGGAAGGAAAAAGGAAAATTAAAGAGGAAAAAAGAAGAAAGAAAGGAGAAAAGGAAGGAAGGATAAATGAAGGGTGAGATATAGGGC